ACATTTACTAATCAAGTAATTATTATTAGTATAAAGTTAAGTAAGTAGCGTAGTTACGTTGGTAGTTAGTTAAGTATGCAACTATATAGAACAACTAATATATATATATATATATATATATATATATATATATATATATATAAAACAGAGAAGGGTAGTAGGAATGAAATGTAAGACATCCTAGTTTTGCACCCTGATTACCTACCCTTGAACTCATTCCTAAGCTACTGATTTTTTTTTAAAAAAAAAAAACCTAAAATGCGCACTCTGGAAGTGCTTGAAAAATATTATGTCATATGATTTAATAGAGACCGTCCATTAGTTGTATGATTCTCTTGGTGTTAGGATAACTCAAATATCACTTCTCCAAACTACTAATTTGGTGATATTAACGTGTACTCCAATTTTTTTTTATATAAAAATAATTGTTACATAAAAACTGCGCCTCGTGATATAAAGGAAATAGAGGACCACACAAACTGGGCCTTAAGGTTTGTCGAGTAGCAGCCTCGCTTTTGAGATCAAGTACAGTTTTTTAAATAGTCAAATCCTAAACACATTCTGAACATTAATCTAAAAAATAAATGAAAAAATTCTGAACCTTCAAAAAAAAAAATCAATTATTTATACTTTTTTTTAGACCATTCACTTTAATTCTTAATAGATCATTAGATCGGTGCAATTTCTTGAAACTACAAATTCATCAATCAAATGTGAAAATGTATTTCCAATAATTTAGGATGTGTTTCATATCCTAAATCCATGAGAAAATAAGGAAACACACTATTAAACTTTTCCCCTATACATCAACTATGGACGAGCACTCTGATGGCTACCTTCTGTGATTCCTCGAATCCGAGTTCCATCTAGGTTGTCGTACTTATTTTGTAATGTTTTTATCATCCACTGCTAAAACTCTCAGACCCATGCCCAATTTCCAAAAGGAGCACAATTCTTGAAAGAAAAGTTCCATTAGGATCTGAACCTCGATTACTAGATTCCAACATACTTGGCTATCTATTAGAGAAAAGTATATAAAGAGATCATTTATTTTGGACCCGGTTTTTACGAATCCCCTGACTCATTATTCTCATGCAGATCCATGATCTACACTGTGATGATCGTAAATATAAAAAAAATAACATAAAATAAAAATTTTAAAACATTTTTAAAATATTTTAAAAAAATTTTCTAATCCATGGGTTAGGAAACTTTAGTTGTGAACGTTTGCGAGTCAACCAGCTAGTGAGTCCGCTGACTCATAAAACACCTATTTTTTTTTTTTTTTTTTTACTTTCACCCCTTTTTTTTTTTTACTTTTAATACAAAAAAGTCAAAATCACTCTTGCCGTTAGATTTTAAATTGAGTAATTCTAAATGTGTCATTAACTAGACTCAAAAGTTCAAAACAAAATTTCATGACCCAATCCAAACCATCGAATTTAACGTCTAATGACTACAAGTAACTGTAACCTTCATGTTACAATGATAAATGGTCTCATGGTATACAATCCCATCTATTATAGCAAGGTGTTATCTGCCCTTCTTCTAGCCGGCCATCATTTTGTTCACCGTTTTCCCTCTCAAACACTTCATAATCACACAACACTAAGACCCCAAATGAGAAACTAATTACACAAAACCCTACTCTACATTTTTTCCTCCAAACATTCCAACACTTACGAGGTTTGAGGGCCACACAATAGCATTCATTATCTTCAAGGAAAAGATTATCAGATCATCTACTCTTAATACAATGAGCTCACAATCACTACTACCCCTCAGATTTGAAATTTGAGCAAGACTTAACCGGTAAAAAGCTCAAAAAGAGCAAAGAATAGACTCATTTGAAATTTATGACTGTACTGGTAAAAAGCTAAAAAAGAGTAAAGAATAGACTCCAAAAACCACGGATAGAAATAATGATAAAAGATATAAGACATACGGCTTTAGTGAAGATATAACCCTTGATAGAGTAAAATAACGAACAAAGATTCATGTAACTGACCTCAAATAGTTAAAAAAAAACCTTGAAGATAAAACCACTAACTATTTTTTCCTTCCAAGGCTAAAATAAATGTTCACATACAAATGTTGGCCTTCTTTGTGCTGGTGCACAACAAAGGAGATAATAATAGGACCTCTCAAAAAAGCCCCCAATGCATATTTTGGGCATCGCCTAAAAGCTACCACCTTTTGGCTAGCATCCAAACACCGCCTTATTTGACCTGTTAATTCATGATAACATGCCACCTTCATTGTTACTTGTCGTGTTTGTTAGTTGGGATTGAAACCATATATTTTTAGTACGAGATCATAATCAATTTTAATCATTAGATGTAAAATCCAATAAATGAAAGTGTAGCACAACATTCAAAAAATTTTATATTAGATTTATTGCTCAAACGACATATTCTCAATATGCCAATTTCAAATCTAACGATCAATGATGATTACGACCTCCTTGTAACAAAAATAAATGGTCTCATTATATACATTTCATTCTTATAAAAACCTTTTGTTATGCACATCCTATCATTTTTACATAAAAAAATCACCACTGAGACAATCCACATTAGCACACAACACATTTCCATCCCTTGTGTACAACCTCTTGCATATGAACTAGGAACAGTGTTTCTTGGACAACTGACCTTTACAATTTTTGAAAGTTCAGAGGGCCTTGACTTGAAGAGTGATGCAACTTATCAGTATGATTATTGTGTATACATAAAATATTGCATTTTCTTAGTTCAACACTACCTGTTTAAATCTATCATGAGCCCATTTACAGTTTCTTTTTATTACCCACAAAACATTTTTCCACCATCCCCAGAGGCATTAGGGCATTTGTTTCCACCTCAATTTGGCACGCACATATCTCTTGGTCCTAGCAAAGGATATTGTGAAACAATTTCAAAAATATCCTTAAAAATATTTTTTTGGGATAAAGAGAACACATGGAACATAGGATACGTCCATTGTAAGATAAACAATGATTTTGAACTTTTGAAGGTGCAAGATGTGATTACCATGAGTTGCGCTTTTTAGTCTCACCAAAAAAAAAATCGAAAAACTTTGTTGAAAAGTAAATTACAAAAGAAAATACTTACTCATAAATGATGTGTCAGAGTGCTCTTCCATCCTTGATTCATAAACATAAACAATAACATTGAAATGAGCAATAAAACAAAAACTAAATTATAAATCAAAATAAAATATTCTAAACAAAATAAAACAAGCTTTTAGAAGCCTGTGTAAAATTCTATATACAAATTGCGTGAAAAGTAAGGGATAACCGCTAACGAACCTGAAGTTTCAGGATTATTAAGTGAAGTTAAATGCTCCTTAAAAGAAGCTGCTGCTGCTTCCCTGTCCTCTGTGCGCCCAAGCATGTTATAGACCATGGCCATCAAGTAGAACGCTTCAGCAGCTAATTCATGATACTGCAAGATATCAACAACATGATACATCACCAAACATGTCACAACATACATACATAAGTACATGCATACATACATATACTATCACAAATACATAGGTCCGAGTTCAATGGCTGCATCAGATTCTCCTGAACAATGAATCACTTAATTGAAACTAAACTCTGGGTCAATTGTAATACTATCTCAAAGTCATGAGCAGTATGGCAACAAATATTGAAAAAAACAAGAACAAAGAGAGACATTATTTAAGAACATGTTTACAACAGTAGAAGTTTAAGATTCACCTCTAAAATTTGGAGTTCATCTGCGGCTTGGCCCAGAGGATCTAGTACAACACCCGGATCTGCAAAAACTGAATGGGGCAAGCCAAACAATCATATAAAAATAATACATCTTTTCTCCGTAATGATTGAAAGTAAAGGAATCAGATACACACACACACATGCACGCGTGCATGCGCACACACATCCACAGAGATAGACTATGATTTTCTGTTTTTGCACATGAAAGTAATTGCATTGTACTTTGGAAATGGCAACCAGCGAAAATTTCAAGAAAGTGAAGGGGTTAACTCTGAAGAAACAATGGATATCAAGTTGAGGGGCTAATTTTGAAACGTATGTTAAAAGTTCTTGCCAAGCCTCAATTTTTTTTGCTTTTCCAAGTAAATGATACTAAAACAATAAACCAAGTCAGTGAACAACTAAATACGATTAGATTACAAGGTTGAACCACACATGACTCATAATCTATACCCATTTCATTTTCTAAAACAGCCATAGGACAAGCAATAACTTATTTAATATACCATTTTTAGGGTTTTGTTCAGGGCAGCAAAAAGGGTAGCCTCCCTTCCTTAATCACATTACCCAACTCAGCCCTTGACATGTCACCACAACCCATTCTCAAGGCATTAGCAGGACCATACCCTCTCCCCCAGCAGTTCCTGGGCCCAGGTTTCCCTGGACAGCTCCCAATTCCGTATATCCAGAGACCGTTTCTGTCAACCCATTCTTTCATTTTCCCAGGATCAGTCTTGCGCCACTCTTCACTCCTCTCTCTATGGTGGTCCAGTGTTCTCCTATTCAGACTGTCTCTCTATCTCCCATTTTGAGGTACCATCTACATCTTTGATTGGGCCGCTTCTCTTCCAATCTTGCAGAGCATGGAACCTCTTCCCTCTGGTTTGCAACGCCCTGCCTCTGCTAACCCTTCCCTTTCCAGCTCTCCTTACCACCCCAGGTCTACAGTGTACACAAACCCCCGCTTCCCCACTCCCCCTCCCCCCCTTGCCACAGTTATGACCACACAAGAGTGTGACCAGGGATCAGTTGCTGGTAACCATGAGGATCAACCCCTAGCCCACCAACCAAAAAAGGGCAAAAAAAACCCCAAAAAAAAACACCAAAACTGGTGTTTGCAATGGAGAAGAGTACCAAATGGAGCAGGGGCTGATCTCTCAGCTAGCAGGCTCCCCCTCGAAACCACCCAACCAGTGCCTTCTGCCTTTCCCTCATTGTCCTTGTGCCCCAAAACTCAGAGATGACTCTTTTTACCCCGAGATAATTATCATGGATGAACTCGATTGAAGAATCAGATGCAGAATCATTCCACTCAGTGGACTCTGAGGGGATAAAAAATATAGACAATGCCCAGGGAGACATCCACAACGTCCAGAAAGCAATGGGTTTCCAGCTTGATGGTCCTCAAGGGAACTTCAAAGACATTTTCTCTGCAGACACCAACATGAGGGCTCAGGTAAGAGTCTCAGGCAAAGGGAAGAGAGAGGTCCACAACCTCGCTTTTGGTATCTCATGTGAGAAAGAAGTCCCTCTGCCTCCCCCCGCCTCTGCCTACAACCTAGTCCCCAACATTCCCTCAGGGCTGGTGTCCACCTCTTATCTTTCTAAATGAAACTCTTAGTGTGGAACATTCGGAGTCTGGGAGACCCCCGCAAGCACAGCAATCTGCGATTCTTGCCGTAAGCACAGCAACATCCCTGATTTGCTTGTGATTGGTGAAAACCAAACAACCCCCCACCAATCTATCTCGGGTTCGAAGCATCTGTGGTCGTAGGCCCTGCCAGTGGACTCCTCGAGGCCCTTGGTGCTTCAGGGGGCAGTTCGGTCATCTGAAAGCCTACCCTTCATTCTCTCAATTTCCCACATTGCCTCTTTCTCAGTCACCCTTGGCCTCTAGAGAATCTCAGACAGACTTTCCTCGAAAGTTTTGGCTGTCTATGGGTCCTAACTTCCTTTCCCTCAGAGAGGCCAACTCTGGGAAGAAATGGATAAGGTTGCCCCTCTTCTACCTGCTCCATGGTATCTAGGGGGTGACTTGAATCTAACCATATGGACTTTTGATAGAAACAGCAACTGCAATATTTCCACCTGTATGTTCAATTTCTCGAACTTCATTTCGAGGAATTGCCAATCGAAATCCTCCTGAATCGAAATCCTCCTGAATGGCTCATGTTTCACCTGGCCCAACCACTCAGCCTCCCCTCATCTCTCTAAACTTGACAGATTTCAACTGAGTCAGATGATACATTCCCAGGGACCCTCGCTTTAGCCCTTCCAAAACCTACTTCTGATCACGGACCTATCCTACCAGACACCACCCCTTTTCTGCCAACCTTTAAACCTGAGCTCTTGGCGAGAGGAACCCAACATTGCAAACTTGGTTAGAGAATGATAGAACTCCTCCTCTGTCCTCGGTTGGGCAGGTTTTCATCTGCAAAGAAAATTGAAGTTGCTCAAAGCATCTGTGAAGGTATGGAGTACGACTCTCTTGGGGAACTTTGGCCTAGTTAGAACCTCACTGTTGGCTATCATAAACAACCTCGACTCCTTAGAGGAAATTAGAGCCCTCTCCCAAGCTGAAATAGACGCCTGTTTCAAAGGCAAAATGGACAACCAATCCATTCTCAAAACAGAAGAAATTTCTTTGGTTCCAGTATTCCCAGGTGGAAATGGTTAAAATTTGGAGAACAAAACACAGCTTTCTTCGATAAAATTGCAAACTGTAGAAGGCATTCTAATACTCTCTCTCAGATATGAGATAGCCCCAACCTCCTTAATCAAGCCCTCGATATATATATATATATATTTTATAGTGTTAACTGTAGTGTTGCGAGAGAGAGAAAAATACAAGGGTATGGCAGAGATGACCCACAAGTTAGGCTACGTGCCCAAAAACGAATTAGAGTACGATATAAAAAGAACGATTGTGGAATCTTCCAAAACCTCCTCTGCTGAGGATCTCATAAGACCCAAAATGGTCGACCCTTCCTTTGCCTCTCTGCCTCTAAGCAGGATTGGTTAAAAAAACCTTTCTCTGAGGAAGAAATCCTGCTGGCCATCAAGAAACTGGGCCAAGACAAGGCTGCTGGACCAGATAGCTTGCCTTCCTGGTTGACGTATTTAGCAATTTCTTGAATACTTTGGGTCGATATATTTGCATCTTCGTCCATGAATTTCACCATATATGTATCGTCCACAGTGCTATGAACACCACCTCTGTGGCCCTTGCCCTAAACATCAAAGGAGATGAGACCGTTCGAGGCTTCAGACCCATACGTCTCTTCAACAGCTCCTACAAGATTCTCTCTAAAGTCCTGGCTTCTCGCTTGAACGAGTTCCTAGGGCATATCATTTTGCCCAACAAGGGTGCTTTTGTCAAGGATCACCAAATCCTTGACGGTGCCCTTATTGCCCACAAGTGCATTCATTCGACACACCTTGCAAAGCGTTTGGGAGATTGGTCATCAAGCTAGATTGGGAGAAAGCTTATGACCACGTCAATTGAGACCTCCCATAGGGAATCCTCTTGAGGATGTGTTTTGGGGCTAAATAGTGGAACTGGATGAATGTTTGCATCTCCACCCCACCATTTCCATTTTAGTAAATGGATCCCCTAAGGGCTTCTTTACTTCCACCAGGGGTCTCCGCAAAGGGACCATCTCTCTCCCTTCCTGTTTGCAATCGTGGCTGAGGCCTTCAGCCACTCAATCAAGAGATTCTACAAACAAGGCTTGCTGGAAGGATTCGAGGTTGACAGCCAAGGGCCCATGATCTCCCACCTACACTATCCTGACGACATCTTGGTGTTCTGTGACGCTTCCCAGCAACAACTCGAAACCCTCTGGGTGTACCTAAGGTGTTTGGAGTTTGCCTCTGGCCACAAAATCAACAGGGCCAAATCCAAACAAATGGGTGTCGCTATTGTCTATTGATCACCCCAAAGCCTGTGTCTTGGCAAATACCATTGGCTGTGAGATTGTTCACCTACCCATGACGTATCTAGGCCTCCCCCTCAGCATTGGCAAACCTCTGAAACAACTTTGGGACCCATTGTGGAAAATTTGATTGAAGTTCACAGGTAGAGAGGTAGATTCCTCTCTATGACTGGCCGTCTAACTCTCATGAAGTAGCCCCCCACCAACATGCCCATAAACCAGATGTCACTCTTTCAAATCCCCAGATCTATTTCTGCCCTTCCAGAGTGAAAGATGAGGAATTTCTTTGGTCGGGTGACACCGAAAATCACAAATTCCACCTAATAGCTTGGATTAAGATCTGCTTACCTAAGAAGCAGGGTGGTGATGGATCGGGCATCCCGTGCCTCATTCTAGGCAACAAAGCGCTGCTTAGGAAATGATGGTTGAGACTCACCCACTCAGGACAACCACCTGTGGCAGCAAGTTATTTCGCAAAAGTATCATATATAGCCTCGTTCTTGGCTGCCAAGTGGACCCCCAAACAGTAGATCTTCTTGAGTGTGGAGCTTGCTTCTCTCCTCTTTGGACCATTTCCGTTCCAATGCTAAGTTCACAGCCAGCTTAGGCAATAAAGTCAAATTTTGGACAGCCTGTAGATTGGGAAATTTTCTCTGCAGAAAACTGCCCACAATCTTTACATAGTGGCAAGGGACAGTGACGCTTTAGTTGCAGATCTTTTCAAACTTTTGGGAGAGATTTAGAGTGTGGAGCCCGAATTTTAAAAGACCCTTGCTTGATCATGAAATTCCCTCTTTCCAGGCCCTTCTTACTGCCCTCCAAGCCACTACCTGCCCTTCGCAGGGCAGGATACTATTATTTAGATGTCTACACCTTCTGGTAATTTTTCGGCATCCTTCTTCTATGCCAAGCTTCCTCCAACACCACCCCCCCCCCCCAGCCTGTTGCATTCCAGGTATGGTTAACTTCCACCAAAATTTCAACTGCAGCTGGTTGGCAACCTCTGAGAGAGTTCTCATTGTCGACCAGCTAAGAAACATGGTCTTCCTTCCTACCCCTAATAGATGCATAATGTGCAAAACTGCAGAGGAAACCAACCAGTACCACTTCTTTCGTTGTGAGTGGCCTTTATGTCTTTGGGCCTTTCTCCTCCTATCTTCAACTGGCAGTGGGTCACAACTTCCTCCATTCCTCACCTCTCCCAGAGCTGCAGGCCTGTTCCTTTGGCAGGCAGCACGGGCAACAACCATCTGGACGATTGGAAGGAGGGAAACAGAGAATCTTCTTGGAGTGAGAAAGCTCAGTCACAACCACTACGGACAGGATTAAAACCACAGTTATCTTTTGGGCCTAAAGGTTTAGACCATTTTGCAGCCAATGACTTTCTTTAGAATTGCCAGGCCATCTTGGAAACTTTGCCGACTCACATTCCTTGGCATGACGAACTTCATTACTGCTGAAGCTATGGCACTTCTAGAGGGAATTAAAAAAGTTTGGGTGGACTGGTTTGGCTGTTTGGTGGTGGAAGGGGGCTAAAAAAAAATCATATCCTGGGTCAAGAGAGATTCCTTATACCCTTGGCGTGTCAACCATATTTTTGACCAACTGCTCGATGATTCAATCTGTCTAGGCTTATATGCATCTCATATTGACATACGTGGCGTGAGGCAAACCATGATGTGGATACTCTTGCTACAGCTAGTGTTAGTTCTGGACCAGCAGTAAACACCCACACCAGAGGAACCTCTTTAGCAACTTTTTGAGATCAGGTCTCATTTTTGGCTTTTTGGAATCTTGGACAGCAAAATCTACTTTGTTTCTTTCTGTACAGAGCTACATTTTTTAGCCATTTCTGGAAATTGTAATGAGCACCCTACTTGTGGGATGCCTAATGCCTTTTTTTGTTACTTTTTACATTCAATACAACTAAGTCAACTTTTTCATAGAAAAAAGAAATTCAAATCATGAAATAGTATTCTGTCCATTGACGAGTAAAACATTTCAGTTGACTGAAGATTTAAGGAGAATTTCTTTTCCAATAGATGGTTTATTCTATGGTTTTCATACTATTGACTGCCATCATATCCTTCACTTTCTAACTACCGCAGCTCAAAGAAAGAAATGCTAAGTGAAGAAACCTGAAAAGCTTGAATCTGATAGATGGCATTTGGCAAGGGCAATATTTGCACGAGCACGAAGCTCCAAACCACCATGACCAAGAAGGATAGGCATGCTCCGATATAGAAGCATCAGTGCCCGTTTTGCTTGACCGGCACCGAGAGAAAGCCACAGTTCAGCTAGGGTCAGTGTAGCAGAGGCTTCAAGTAGATCCAAGTTGAATGACTGGCAAAAAGACAAACTCGCTAATGCATATGGAAGGCCAGAGACAGCATTTCCCGATTTCTGGAGAAAAAAAAAATTAGTGTGATTTTCTAGCACTCAATGCAATTTATTGTTTATAAGGAATTTCTTTCTTGGGAAAACACGAAGAGGACGTGGTACCATGGTTGGTCCAACTCCCTCTCCATTATTGTCCATTTATTGGATGGTAACGAATCCAAGTTATCCAACAGAGAGTCATTTCACATAGTCAATGGATTATAGTACGCTTTCCTTTCGTTTATCTCAGACTATCGATTTGAATAAGACAAGTGCGAGAATGAATATATCACATGTATATCGATTCATATGGATGGAGCATGATACCCTAATGAAATGTAGATCATTCTCCTCAGAAACTTGAAATGCGGATCATTCTCCTCAGAAACTAAGTATCCTCATCAGTTAACTCTCAGTCTACTTTTATATAATTTTATAAACTGTTTCAACTAAAAAGAAGCTACATTTTAGTTTCAAGCAAAGCTCTTGGCACAAGAGATAGCCCCAAGGAGAAACAGTAGCAGATAGATGACTACCTTGTGGACCTCTGCTAACAAGAGATGGACAGAAGCATTTTCAACTTGCATATTGAATTTGTGACACATGCAGAACAGAGAATATGCCACAGATGCTGCCTGCAAACACCACAATTGGTTAACCTGGAAGATTAAAAAATTGGAGAAACCAAGAGGAGGAAAACAGTGATGATCCAGCAAAAAGGATGACATGAGAAGCAAATAAAGATAGTGCCAAGTAATCAACCTGAGTAAAAAGTAGTGTGTGGAAAGAATGAAAAGAAGAACCTCGCTAAACTGATTAGCAGCAAGTAGAGTACGGGCATGACGGAGGCTAGCTTCAGCTTTCAAATCCATGTCAACTCCGGAAATAGAAGATGCCAGCACACCAAACTCATTGCATACTTGTTGAGCCAGTTTTAGCTGACCCCTGCACCAGAATCAATTTCTAAGTAACAAGAAGAAGAAACGAACAAAAAATTAATCATCATTGGCAAGAAGGCTAAAGAAAACTGCAGACATCATTGAACTTACCGATGCAAAGCACGATCATGAAGCAATTGAAGCTTAAGAAGTTGAATGCGTGACCCAGATAGGGATGAAAACTTTTTCTCTACAAATTTGAGGGCAGTAAAAGCTTCTGAAGAAAAAGAAAAAGTCCAATCATATGTTCTGATGAATAATAAGTAAGAAATTTATTAAGCATAGAAACTAGAGATAACGTGCATGGGAGGATGGGATCAGCTCGGCTACAGGATCAGAGCGAGGATTAAAAGGACACCTGGTAGTGGTATAATAATATAAGCATTAACAGAGTACTACTAGAAGGGGTATATAGAACCATAAACGAGTACTATATAGTTATATATATCAAAGATTCGCATGTCAAACCTTTTCTTTGATATTTCACAAATGTTTTTAGTGTGCAATCACGTATAAATTTACTAAAAGATAAAAAAATTGACAGTGACTCATCAGAGAAACGAAAATAGAAGATCACTGTAAAATATGCAAATTTACCAATGAAATTGTTCTCGTTGGTAAAACAAGTAAAAGACATGCTCTTATGAAAATCTACTTAAAACTGATCTAGGAATAAAAATAAGGTCATCATTTGGAGAATCCTATAAATGCACAAGTTAATGTTGTACATGAGTGAACAACTATGAGTCTTCTTTAGGAGTAAATGAACCTCAGTTTTGAAATAATACATTCACTCCAAAAAATAAACATATTGTTGCCAATTAGCAAATACAAAATCTTAAACTGAAACCAGTGTTTTGAAACTCGGGGTCAGGCTTGGAACTGGGCAGGAGCAAGACACAGCCGAGTCTTAAAAAACTTAAAAAAGAAACCTTGGGCACCAGTGAGACCCAGCCAGTTCCCAAGGACTTCTACTTGGACCCAGCACCCTGCCGGTCCGAGTATTAGCCCGCATCCGAGTGGGACTGAACGAGTTTTAAGACACTGACTGAAGTAGTAAACTTCAACTAATGACCATTCTAGAAGATATACTTCCATTGTTATCGATAAGATTAATGTTTCTGAAAACAATTTAAGTTCATTATTCTCCATTTACATGAAGCCCCATCTCCAACATTGTCATTATCAATTCTCATGTTAAGTATGCTGCCTATCGGCTCCTTTCTCATCTAAGGAAATGACACCCCCTCCGTCCTCCCTTTGATATGCGTCCTAACACATGCACCTCACATCAATTCAACAATAACCCAAGGGGACATCGGCCACAAGGACAGCCAACAAAATGAAAAATTCTAGCCACGTACACCAAGAATTCTTCGATGAGTTCAGTTTCAGTAACTAATGGTGAACCACATAGGAGACTTTTTTGTTTTTTTTTTGGAAAGAAGGTTCACTATTTTGAATTGAAAACTAAAAAAAATACGAAAAGGATATAGGTCACCCATTTACAGGTTACTGTACAACTCATAAATAATATGGTTATTTCAGTATTATACAAAAAGGAGAATGATCTGTACACTGCGCAGGCCAAAATTGATAGCCCAGCTGGCCCACAAAGCAAAAAACGTGGGGCAGCAAGCGAAAGACGCAGAGACTACCCTTAGTGCAAATTAGCCGTGGTAGGTCCGGAGTTAGCACTGACTTTGGCAAGGTCATCTGCAAGATGGTTTGCCTCCCTCCGCGTATGGCGATAAGGGATCTGTATAGGCCTACAAAGATCGAAGTACTCATTGAACACAAGTTCTAGACGCCACGAGCAAGAAGAGGTGTGAGCAGCCCAGGCAAGTACATTCTTTGACTCACCCTTAACAATAAGTTCTCCAGACCAAACCAGGCTAAAGCATTTCATCCCTTCCCACAGTGCAATAGCCTCCGCAGTTATGGAATCTTTATTCCAATGGATACTGAGTAGGAGAAAATTGTGTTGCCATTATGATCCTTGAAGAGACCACCATAGCCAGCAAGGCCGGGGTTTCCAAGAGAGCAACCATCGAAGTTCAGCTTGATGCTACCATACTCCGGAGGTCCCAAAGGGAAGACCGGGCATGTGAGACAAAAAAAGAAAAATTGTATTTCCAGATTTGTTTAAATAAATTTTGATCATCAAAGATTGTGATTCGCCTTATTAACTAGATATCCAACAGATCATAATTGCACCTAGAGGAGCAATGTGGTTCAGATAAATCATTTGAGTTGTTCAAACCCACGCAATTGCAAATATAGAAACCATGAAACTGTCCTCTATAATTTTCAGGTACAAAAAGCTTTAATATCTACTATTTTCTGTTTTTTCTTTTGACGATTATCTTTTCAATGAAGAATCAACAACATTCACAATCTTTGCCAGGGTACCAAACTTCCCACGGACCCAAATATTTAGAGACTCCAATAATGATAGAGGGTCTATGTGCACAAATCAGGTCCACAAAAAGTGCATTTCACAATAAATTTGAAATCGAAGTCAGAATCAAAGATAAATCTTCACTTAGAAAACTCATCTTCATCAGCTGCCTGCAGATGCAACAACTCACAAAGTTTATAATGTCAAATGGTCAGAGAGAGACATGCACACCAGTTCTACAATTTCCCAAGTTACTGACACTACCTGCCGTGATGTTGTTAAATTAAATTTTGCATTTGTGTTCCAAATTTCCAATTTTTCAATCATAGCCCCAAAGCGATGTGAAACTTGAACAAACATCAGAAAAAAGAATAAAAACATACACCACAATAGTAGTCATAAGAGGACCCAATTTTGTAAACCCAACCTTTGTATCCCTTGAACATAGCCATGTGCTGGATGAGTTTAACATAAGCCTGACATAGATCAGTTGTACTGAAGGAAAGCAAAAATAATGGAACATTTATTAGAGACAACACCAAAATAAGTATGTAGAATGGCCAAAGGAATGAAAAAAAACGCCGGGATAAATATTATCAAATAACCAAGATAGATAGCATGGTTACCTTGCTGCATCAGCAAAGCAAGTAGCGTGAACTAGTGCGTTTAATCGGACAAGAGGAGAACTGCACCATCAAACAACCAACCACCAAAGAGACAAATGTACTCAATTTTGCAACCACAAACGTATGTGTTGCATGTGTGTATTGCCAAATCTTATCTAACTACATTTAAATCAAGTTCCTCCTATCATATAGTAGGCATCGTTCAAAAACCCTTGACACAAACTTGGCATGGCCAGACTCCAAGGCTGCCAATGATCATGAGTTGTAAATTCAACAAAAATATGAGAAGCAAGATCAAATAAAAGATGGTAACAACACAGCTAAGGCCAGATAGATCACTGAACAATTGCCAAAAATTTCATAAACAATTTCAACAAAAAAAGGTGAACATAATACCACAATATTTCAGCACTGATAACTTCGTATAAATGGAAAAGAGAGAGACAAAAAAAACAACATAATGATAGTAATCTAACAAAATGATAGCTAATCTACCTATGGTAGCAAAAGAGATCCAAAACATTCCCACCCTCCTTACAACCAGATTAGCTACAGTATCTGCCATCATATTAGCTTCTTAAGGAGCATGACTACAAGTTGGTAAAATTGTAGTTGTCATTTTAAGAATAATGGATGACCACTGACTTATAACCTAACAGTATGAAAACCTTAGTTGCATTACCCTGTAAAAAGGGCAGAGTTCTTCCACTCATTATCAATAAAGAGCATAAACGGTAACACCATTGGCATTCCAATGCATCATATGAAAACTACCTGGACTGTTTTGCACTTGAGCATGGTAACATATACTTTCACTGCTGAACTACCTGGACTATATTGCACTTTGGCATGGTCCATGTATATTTTTAAGACCTCTCAGAGTCTCAACTCTAAGTTACAATATCAAAAGTTTCACAGGCTCCCGTTATGGAACTATGGGGACTAGTCCAAACAAATGTTATAAATTTTCATGAGAAATGTCTAGCTCATAAAATTCAACGGCAGTTTTGTTTTTTCGTATTATTCCCTTCAGTTAGGAAATCCTTTTCACCCTCAAAACATCTTTCAATCATTTTCACTTTGGCAAATATCAATGATTTGCCTATCAAGAAAGCTGATATAACAGGACTCCTCATGATTACTGACATTTTCCATGCTCCACGAGACTCAAATTCCAAGGGACTAGACAACTAACCTTGGGTTCCAATAAAACTGGAAGAAAAGGAAATTTGGGACTTTCTAGTGTTATATATACTATTTTAAGGGCATTTTGGTAATTAGCCTCACTTAAGTCACTCAAGCCAAATGACATAAATACTCCACTTGCTCTGAGTTCCAAACTCAGAAAGAAGTGATTTTTCACTAAAATATCTTATTCCGAGTTTAGAAGCCATAACAAATAGGGGCATTTACATTATTTGACTCAAATGACTTACTTGGGCAAATTACCAAAATCGCCATATTAGTTCTAGGTTCCAAACTTGGAACAAGATATTTTAATTAAAAAATACATGTTATGGTTTGGAACCTGGAAAAACAAGGGAATTTAGATCATCTGGCTTCCAAAATGCTGGGCCAAAAGCATGGTAGTTTCGTCATTTGGCTAGAACCATTTATCATGCGCCAAACGACAATACTACTCTTGTTTGTTAAAAGTTATAAACCCAGAACAAAACTTTTTATTTTAAAAAACATGTTTCGAGTTTGGAACCATAAACAAGCAAGAGATATTTAGGTCATTTCGCTTGAGTGACTTAAGTAGTCCAAATTACCAAAATGGCCTCATTTGTTTTTCGAGCAGGCAAAATGTCCTCATTTGTTTAAGGATCCAAACCCATAATAAGGGCAATTATGGAATTTTTAAATAAAATGATTGAGGAGGTACTTGATGCTGAGGTTTGTGGCCTTTAAAGCCCATGAAAGCATGTACATAAGAATTATAATGGATTCTACACTTCAATGGGAATATGTATTTTAGCTGACTGACCTAGGGTTAGGCGGTCTATGGCCCTGATCATGTCCAAAACCCTTTCCCAAAGCATATGGCACTACTACATAGGGTTTTTCAAAGGATCATCCCTCATTGAAGTTGGAGAGATGCCCAAAGATGGTTTATAGACTGGGAGAGCTTTGTGATCTCTTGCATGCGGATGTAGGCCTGTGAGAGTGAATCCTCAACAAAACTTCTGCGCGGTATGTACACATGACAACTGCATACCGAGAAGCAACCGTACAAATAGATACATGTACATGTGCATAGAGAGAGTCCCTTTTGCATTATAGCGATATGTGTGTCTGACATGCTCTTAAGGGGGGGAACCTATATTCCACATTCTAGGATAGTTGTTTCACTATTTATTGGCTAGCTTGGACAAGCCAATCATGAGTCCAAGCATGACACTATGGGTCATGTATCTCATAGGGTTGATTTGATAAGAAAGTCGAGGATCATAGCCATTGGGTCAGGTGGAGTGCCTTAAGAACCATTTTTTCTTGACCCACTGGTACCAACCGACTTCTAGATGTCTTGTTTTGGTGTAATAAATGTTTCTCCAAATTTTAGAAATTTTAAGAATTTCTAAAATTATTTCAAGCAATAAAAACCCCTTAGAAGGGCATTTTAGAAATTACAAGATTGTGGAGGGCTGAGGTGGAAGACATGGGGGCCTTTGGATCCAGGCCACATGTACACAACCCTCACACGTGTGAAGAGTGGAGCCCATGGGGACTGCACCTCACACCTATGAGGTGGCATGCCCTCCTCTCTCTCTCTCT